TCTTTCTACATCTGAATAAATAATATATCAACAATGGTTTCATGAAAGATTGGAATAGAAACAAAATAGACTCTTCCCTGATAGTTAGATTTTATTCATTTTCGAATAAACATTATAGAAAATATCAATGAATTTAAATTAATGATATGATTCTTTTTTGAAAACTAAATGCTATGAAAAGAAAAAGAAATTTCTTTACATTTTTTAAAATTTCTATATAATAAAAAAATGATTATATATAGATACAGTAATATAATATTTAATGATTGACACACAAGTTGATTGTGAATGTATATAATGAACGAGAAAAAAAGACATACTCTTCCTCATTCTTTTTGCTTCTAAAACGAGCGAATTTGACGAAAAAAATTCATATCCGACTAATACGATCGAATATTAAATAGACATATTTATGTTTTTCTTAGGTCATGTACACACTACGAAAATTAATGTCTAATTATGCAACTTGATTGGTTTAAAATTTAAAACAGACTTAAGTCGTCTTGATGAGGCGATTTAATTTTGGGTGGGGTGTGGGTGGGTGTGGGTGTGGGTGGGTGGAGGTGTGTGGCTGTGGATGTAATGTTGATGTGAATATGAACAAAGATGGCAGTGACACACCCACATCCCCACCCACAAAACATCCACATATCTACATCCACACCCCACGCACCCCATACCTTCACACCCACTCACACCCACACATTCACACTCACACCCACACCATCCTCACACCCACACCCACTCTTAGGAATGGGCGGTGTCAGTGATGACACCGAAAAAACCGTCACTTTTGTCACTGACAGTGACCCTCAGTGCACACTGATAGGTTCTGTTGCACTGATCACTGAAATACTGATCACACTGACACTGACGTCACTGGAACACCGATGGCTAGTGTATCACGGATCACTGATGCACTGATGCCATCGGCGGCACTGGTACTTCAGGCACACTGTCTTCGCTGACATCTTGCAATTAATTGTTACATAATACTGCAAGACATGTGCTTTAAATAAAAAAGAATGATCATAAACTAGATGTATGTATTTTTTCCATCCATGTCTCAGTGAAGTTAGTGTGCCTGAAGTCCTAGTGACGCCGATGGTATCAGTGATCCGTGATACACTGGTTGTCGGTGTTCCAGTGACGTCAGTGTCTGGGTGATCAATATTTCAGTGATCAGTGGCACTGAATCTATCAGTGTGCACTGAGCGTCACTGTGGGTGTCCATCGGTGTTCAGTAAATGCACACCGTCCATGCCTATCCACTCCCACACACTCACCCCCACACCCACCCACCCACCCACACCCACATCCACACTCGCACTCCCACACCCTGATACTGATGATGGGTCGCTTGAACCTCAAAGCTCTATTAAAAAGTTCCAACTATTATATAATTAATAGAAATTAACTTCGAGTATTAATTTTATGTTATTTTATTTAAATATATCAAAAAATATGTTGTCGTCATTACTTAGTCGAATGAGTAAGAAAAAATCTCGTGAGAATTATTGTTGCCGGATGTACGATTGTAAGTAAAGACAAGTGCATAACCATCGATCTATCAGTATGCAATGAGCAATTCTTAGCAAGGTTGACTCACATTAATATGCTATCTGAAGATAATAACGAACGAATAGAAAAAATACGAGCAGCAAAAATCTTTCTAGAAAAGTATCAGAAAACATAAAGTACAGTTCAGCTTTTAGTGTGAAGTATTTTTGAGAAATTCCAGAAAACAGTCTTTATTGTTTTCATAATTGATAATCTAGTTTTTTTTCGAATCTGAAATAAGAGTTTCTAGAAAAATCAGGATTTTTTCAGTCAAAAATCAATTTTCTGAGCATCTTTATAAAGTGTAATTACCATCATGAATTTTCTCATGTTGAAGATATTCGCATAGAAAATGAATTACTCGAAATGTTCTATAAAAGCATATCGATATGCTTTTTATATTTGTTGTTGTACTAAATTTCTAAAATACTTAAATAATCATTGTATTTATATCTACAATTTTCATTGAAAAACCTGCCAATTACATTCCTGTCTGCCACGATGGAAAAAGATGAACAAAATTCTTGGAATGTAATTCTTAGCAATAGGTTTAGTTTTCATCATATTTGAACGCAAAGTCGTATGTCAAATCGTAGGTTGTTTCGGTTCAAAAAATCATCTTCTTTACATATTATATTAATTTCATCTTATCTTTTCTTTTTTGATATTCATAGACATGATTTTACTCACACTAAAAGCTTACGAATATACGATTTCAATCACACACAGCTCATGAAAAAAAAAGTAACCATCGTAGAGCATTGATTTATATTGATCAATTTCTTTCAAGTAAAAACGAAAATGGTCTCTCTTTAGTATTAAACTAGTGAAAGAAAAGTTGATTCTCTCTAATTTAATGTTTATTGATTGAAACGCATGACGATCATAAAACTGACTGTTGCATTAGTTATGTGTTTGAAGAGAAATATATCATTTTTTTTATAAGATGATTTACTGCCAAGAATATGAACTGTTTCGCGAAAGAAATAATCCATTCATTACAAACATATAACACATATATGCGTTACATTCATGTTGATTAGAATAATCAAGAATTTTTATGATTGAAATAATTCACATGTTTTCTTCCTGTTTATTCTAAAAGCTCAGCTAGAAAGAGGCTCATACGTGGATTAGGAGAAGATCCACACCCTATCGTCGTGCTATTTATAACCATTCCTGTAAATTCTCATTAAAATATTGAAAAACTTCACAATGTCTGATTTGCAAATCGCAGTGAATAAAGATCGCAAATACAACGAAGCATTTTTTAGAACAATTTTATTGAAATTATAAACACAGCATAACATTCATTAGGAAATTCTACATTTCTTTATCTAAATTTCAAAATTTCAGAAAGCAAATGAACAAGAAAACTCTTTTATGGATTTAAGAATCTGATAAAACAAAATAAAATCATTTTTCTAACAGAATATTTGTATTAACATCTTTTAGATTTCAATTGTTTTTAAAGATATGTAGATAAATTTTGCACAATCAGATTCGAGTTTCAGAAAATTTGATTTCATATGAACTATTAATTGGAACAGAAAAATTTGCATTGATTCATCTCGAATTTTATCGAAAAAACATTTAAATCAATCGATAATATCTGAAAAGAACATAAAAGTGCGGTTTTAAGATTGACTATGTTGTAAACTTTCCAATTTTGTATATAAGGAAAAATATTTTTAAAAAGCAAAATTAGAAGTTTTCAAAGCATTCAGTTTCCTATCAAGAGAGAAGAGAATAATAGTGTATTGTCAAAAATTGATATGTTCCATGAAGATTATGGCTGCCTAAAAATATCTTATTGAAAAAATTCTGCTGTATGAAGAATAAATTGTTACATGAATGCATGTCTCAAACTTTTTCTCGTAATTAAAAGAAGAAATATCTAAAACAAATATCATATCAAGTGAAATGATTAAAATTATTTAAAAGGATTATTTCTGAAAATAAGCTGATCCTGCCTAGAACTTATTAATAGAACCTGAATTCATTTTCATTGTTTTCAAACAATCATTTTCAAGTAAATGTATCATGTTGTTTTATAGGATTTAAAATGAATAATTATCATGTTTGAATAGAAAATGAGCTATTATTATTCAGTTTCTTTTAAATTTGAAATTTTTTTTATTTCATATCGGAAACAAATGTAGATCATTCATCGATAAATGTTACTATCTGTTAGAATTTTCAATGATTAGATGAAAACATTTTTCAAATATCAGAGAATATCTGCAGAATGACTTTTATATTTCGTTTGTCATAAATTTCACTCTTTTTTTTGTTTCACTGCTATTTTTTTTTATCATAATGATAAAATTCTGATCTATCAAGATGTGGATGTGAATCTTCATTTTAACCACACTCACACCCGTTTTCGACCATGAATACCTTCTAGAATAATGAATAATAAAATTGTCGCAATCGTTATCAGTGATACTAATTTTTTACTTATTTATTTTGAAGAAGAACATACAGTATCTGATTCACGATTAAATACAAGAGAACGACTTATAATTGAACTTGGAAAAAAAACAATATATATTCAATGTAAAAATGTTCCCCCATGATATTTGGTTATTTTTAAATAGACAAAACACTCATAATTAATTTTGCAAGTAATAAGACAGAACTAATTCGTAAAAGCAATGAAAAATTATTTTTCAATAATTTAACAGTTTCGAGAATTTATATACAAGAAGTTTTTTTTATCTTATGAACTGTAAAAGTGAGTTATAAGAACTTTACTAAGAAATTTGAAAATGAGTGTTTATTGTGATTACATATATTTAATTTTAAGAACAATAGTTATAAGCTATTATGTAAAATTTTTCTAGAAACTATGCTCAATATTTTTTCTAGAACTATATCTTTATTATCTTGTCAATGTTTACTCATGTTATCCGATGTTGTCTTGTATATCATCTTATTCGACAATCACTTTTCATAGTTACTAACAGGTATATATTAAATACATCAGTCATATGTATTTGTACCGTCGGCTTGGTTCGCATTTGACATTAAATTTACTTGAAATTCGTCAGACAATACCATCAATAAAAGCTGAAAATAAGCATCTAAAAGAATAAAGAAAAATTTTATCATATTATTTCTTTATAATTCACCCGTTGCACATAGTCTAAATATTCCTGATGAGATAACATCAGAAAACATTTTTTTTGTACTGAAGATTCTTCTTGATGATATTATTGTAAAACGACAAATAAAATATTTCGTAATTCACTATAAAAGAAAACATTTCAAATAGTTGTCCAGATTAATGCCAGTATCATTTACCATAAAGAACAAAAAATGAAGTCGTTGTTTGGTTCATTATCTGCCTTCGATGGTATTTGATATAATAGGGTGTGGATGAAGACAGTATCTATACCCACACCCAAAATAATAAATAAGAGAATAAATATTCTTACTCATAATGGTGGTTTTGTTGGAAATAATTCCCAATTGACAATTGCATTTATTGTTAGAAAATGCATATCCCAATTTTTCTTTGCAATTTCTTTGAATATTCTAACTATATTTTCATGATCACTTTCACACTGCAATTCTCTGATTAATTTTGTTACTTCTTCGAAATAAACAACCAACAACTTCAATCCGGTTTACAAAATCAAAATTTAATTTTTAAATTAAGTCTGACGTCTTTTAGCATTTTACAATCTTACGCTAATTGTAATGCTTCAGTTAATCAAGATACAATTTCGAGCACGAACATAATCAGGTGAAAACAGAAGATTTTAAGTTCATTAATTAATTTATCTTACAGTTTGAGTTTTTCAAATGTTTTAAAAGGTAAATATTCATTCCATGGAAGTTGAAGTTATTCACGAGTTATTTAAAAATATTGTTTATATCTAAATAAAATTTTAT